AATTTTCCATAAAAGAAGAGAAGGAGGGGGGGGGGAGGGAGGGAGGAGAAAGTCCAAGGGACGAGAATAATCGTATCTGCTTAGCATTCAGGGGTTGTCAACCTTTCTATACCTACCGTCCCCTTTTGTATCTCTGTTAGTAGTAAAATTTTCTCACCGCCCACTGGTTATAAACGGTGATTTATAAAGTAGGGAAGTAACTTTGCTTTATAAAACTTATAAAGCAGAGTTACAGCAAACCCCCTACCGCCCACCAGGAAAGCTGGAACGCCCACTAGTGGGTGGTAGGGAGCAGGTCGACTACCACTGGCTTAGATTAAAGTTGTTGTCTCATTTCCCTGGGTAAACTCTTGCCTCCTCTGTGCATCCTCTGTCAAACAAGAAATAAAAGCGTCTTTTATTGGAGTGCTTCAAGAGACGGGGAAGATTTTATGATTGGCTAGAGAAAGGAAAAGAAAGAAGGGAGAAGATATAGAACCCAGGCGATGTTACTATCAAAACAAAAGGAACGCGGAAACAAGTTGTAAGCAGTGATTTGAGGGGAGAAAAGGGTTTAGATCAGTGTTTCTCAACCTTGGCGACTTTAAGTCGTGTGGACTTCAACTCCCAGAATCCCCCAGCCAGCTGTGCTGGCTGGGGGATTCTGGGAGTTGAAGTCCACGCGACTTAAAGTCGCCAAGGTTGAGAAACACTGGTTTAGATATTTTGTCAACTAATTTTTGTTTAGAATGTGTTATAAAGGTTTGAGGCTATTGGATGACTTTGTAATAATTAATGAAATGCCATTAGGTGGATGTGTTTTTTAAACTATGGATTATTCTAGGCAAAAGGACATTAAAACAATTTCAGTTCAATGAGAACTATGAGAACTTTGAAGGTTAAGACTCATTAAAAACTTTGATATTCGATATGAATGTAAGTAATGATTCTGGAAGAGGTGCACAAAAGCTAATTGTAACCAATTGACACACTTTCTACAAATGTGTAATGTGTGTTATTTGTTTTGTGTGTTGTTTGTTTAGTAAAAAAAAAATTGTTTATAAAACAAAAAGAACCCGGACGATGCACTGTTAAATGGAAAAGGAGAGGGGGGAAAGGGGGAAATAGAAAATAAAATATTAAATATACAAGTATATATCCAAGAGCGAGACATAAAGTGGGGGGGGAGGATATAGTTAGGATAGATGAGCGAAGATAAAGGAATAAGAAATGATATTAAACTAATATCTGGGTTTGCGGAAATACCATCCCAAGGAAACATAAACTGAGATCTGAAAGAGACACCTACAACAATAGAAAAGGAAAGGGAGAGAGGAGGAGAGAATGAGAGGAAGACGGGGGGAAAGAAGAAAGAGGTAAGGAGAGGAGGATGGAAGGGAGAGAAGGAGAGAGGGTAGGAAGGGGAAGAGTGGGAGAAAGGGAAGGGGAGAAGGAAGGGGAAGGAGAGGAGGGAAAGAAGAGGTAAGGAGAGGAGGGTGGACGGGAGATAAAGAGAAGGAGAGAGGAAAGAGAAAGAGAGCAGTAGGGGAGAGGTAAGGGAAGAAGGAAGGGAAAGGAGAGGAGGGAAAGAAGAAAGAGATAAGGAGAAGAGGGTGGAAGGGAGAGAAAGAGAAGGAGAGGGTAGGAAGAGGAAGAGTAGGAGAAAGGGAAGGGGAGAAGGAAGGGGAAGGAGAGGAGGGTGGAAGGGAGATAAAGAGAAGAAGAGAGGAAAGAGAAAGAGAGCAGTAGGGAAGAGGTAAGGGAAGAAGGAAGAAGGAAGGAGAGGAGGGAAAGAAGAAAGTGGTAAGGAGAAGAGGGTGGAAGGGAGAGAAAGAGAAGGAGAGGGTAGGAAGAGGAAGAGTAGGAGAAAGGGAAGGGGAGAAGGAAGGGGAAGGAGAGGAGGGTGGAAGGGAGATAAAGAGAAGAAGAGAGGAAAGAGAAAGAGAGCAGTAGGGAAGAGGTAAGGGAAGAAGGAAGAAGGAAGGAGAGGAGGGAAAGAAGAAAGTGGTAAGGAGAAGAGGGTGGAAGGGAGAGAAAGAGAAGGAGAGAGGGTAGGAAGGGGAAGAGGAGGAGTAGGAGTAGGAGAAAGGGAAGGGGAGAAGGAAGGGGAAGGAGAGGAGGGTGGAAGGGAGATAAAGAGAAGAAGAGAGGAAAGAGAAAGAGAGCAGTAGGGAAGAGGTAAGGGAAGAAGGAAGAAGGAAGGAGAGGAGGGAAAGAAGAAAGTGGTAAGGAGAAGAGGGTGGAAGGGAGAGAAAGAGAAGGAGAGAGGGTAGGAAGGGGAAGAGGAAGAGTAGGAGTAGGAGAAAGGGAAGGGAAGAAGGAAGAGGAAGGAGAGGAGGGTGGAAGGGAGAGAAAGAGAAGGAGAGAGGGTAGGAAGGGGAAGAGGAAGAGTAGGAGTAGGAGAAAGGGAAAGGAA